ACAATCATAAAGACATCTCAGCAGACATTATTTATATTTTACATGATACTTGTATTTAAATTAGCAATCCCATTCTGTTAACTTCATATTTCAAAACAGACACCAAAATCTTGAGAGAGAAAACCTGACATGGATTTGGTCAACAAACATTTATCTGACCCATAGTCTATGAACAGTTGAATGGATAAAGTAATGACTACTGTTCTCTAACAACAAAAATAACTAAGAGAGACACAAACTAGAATATGAGATGTGCCAGAAGTATGGTACCAGGGAATGCTTTAAGAATGCAGAAGCTCTGGGGCGCCTGGGTGGCTCAGTCGGTTAAGCGTCTGACTTCAGGTCATGATCTCGCAGTTCGTGGGTTTGAGCCCCACATCAGGCTCTTTGCTGACAGCTCAGAGCCTGGAGCCTGCTTCAGATTCTGTGTCTCCCTCTCTCTCTTCCCCTCCCCTGCTCATGCTCTGGCTTGCTCTCTCTCTCAAAAAAAAAGAAAAAAGAAAAAAGAAGGAAAAATGCAAAAGGTCTTTGGGGAACCTGGGTGGCTCAGTCAGTTGACCATCCATCTAGCTCTTGGTTTCAGCTCAGGTCATGATCTCACAGTTCATGGGATTTAGCCCCATGTTGGGCTTCACATTGAGTGTAGAGCCTGCTTGGGATTCTCTCTCTCCTTCTCTCTTTGCCCCTCCCTAACTTGCACTCTCTCTCTCTCTCAAAATAAATAAACCAAAAAAAAAAAAAAAAAAAAAAAAAAAAAAAAAAAAATGCAGAAGTTCTGAAGTAACCCAGAAACAAAAAAAAGAATCATAGGCCCTGCTTCTCCAAATTATTTCTTACTCAATACTGCTTTATTTCAAGCAGACTGTTTTGTTTACAGTAGATAGTGTTCCATCAGTCCACGCAAATATACATTATCAAGAACTGTATCAACTTGTGTTTCACCTTTATTTCCCAAAAAAGACACAGTCATAATGCCATCATCTTAACTAATATATAATGGTAGCATTGTATGTGCCAAGCACTGTGATGAGATACATTATGTATCATATGATACATATGTATGTATGTGCCAAATCATACATATTTCCACTGAAAATCAATTTAATTAAGTTGTAGGTCAAAAATGATCAAGTATCAGTAGTGCATAGTTCAACTTTAATATACGACAAGTTTAAAAAAACTTACATTAATTAAGGTGACTCTTTCATTCGCTTAAATACAAATAGAGAATTTTACAGAAGAATACTTTTCCTACAACATCTTCTCAGCAATCAAGAGACTGACTCTGTCAGGGCGCGCCGGTGGCTCAGTCAGTTAAGCATCCAACTGGATTTCAGCTCACGTCATGATCTCACGCTTTGTGGGTTTGAGCCCCACATCAGCCTCTGTGCTGACAGCATGGAGCCTGATTCTCTGTCTCCCTCTCTCTCTGCCCCTCCCAGCTCAAGCTCTATCAAAAATAAATAAAATAAATGTTTAAAACAATTGATTAAAAAAAAAGAGAGAGAGACTGACTCTGTCAGTTGGTTCTCCATGTGAGCTGGTCTTTCATCCAATATGACAATTTACTGCTGTGACTTCATCTTCATTTCCCAGGCTATTCAGTTTTTCTACCTCTGGCACAAACTTTACTTCAGTTCAACAATAAATTAAATATCTGTTTCCTAAGTTCAAAGCACTTTCTAGGTGTTCGGGTTTTTCTACCCATCTCATTCTGTGGTCTCCCATTAAGTATCACCACACTAAAGACATAGTTAATAGCCTACAAATGTCATTTGACTCAAAGAATACTAAAAGTGCACTAAATACACTTTTGTTCAAAGCACAAGAAGGAGAATAATACCTAGACTTAAATACATTAAATCAGAATCATAAAATTTCACGAAAAATAATGCTGGTAATCTGTAAGCAACAGATTTTAGAAAGCAAAATATAACTTTCTCTTAAGTACTGCATTCATTGTTAGAAAAAATTTAAGACATTTTAATGAAAACTCAGTAATACATCTAAACATTCAAGGGTTTTGTTTTCTTTAGGCACTAAAAATGCTTCCTCAAGGTCCTCTATAGCCTTGCAACTCAAAATGTGCTCTGCAGAGAGAAGCATCATCCTTACCTGGGAGCTTGTGAAAAATGCAGATTCTCAGATTTCACCCCCAACCTGCAGAATCTAAATCTGCATTTTATTATGACTCCAAAGTGATTCCTACGCACATTAAAATTTAAGAAGCACTTAACCTATAACACGGGTTCTAACAGGGGTCCTGAAGAGCAACATGAGTTTCACGAATCCCCTGAAATTTCATGCAGAACCTTTCATGAGTGAATATATGCATATTTCACTGGGAAAATACTCCATATATTTTTTTATCAATCTCTCAAAGGAATATATGACCCCAAATAGATTAAGAATCACTGCCCTACAGGATTGTATGCCACAGTTTAGAAGTCAAAATATTTCAAAAACTATTTACGCTGCTCTCAATGAGGTCTGTTGAAGAATGACAAGAATGAAGGTCAGAACGTCACAGTGGGTCACGAAAGACCTTATCTGAAGAATTTATTCACACCATGCAAGAACTATGCCAAGAAACCAGTTTGGAGACATCTAAATAAATAATTCTCTACATGAGGTTTGAGATTAAGAATGTGCACTTGAAGAAGATTCAAACTGAGAAGTAAATAAATAGAAGGTAGGATTTTTTTTAAGATAGGATGCCATTAGATGACAGCGAAGTGCTGAATTCTTGTTGTAAGAGCTCAATCAGCAAGTCTAACAGGATTCTGTTTGATTTGGGATACATGACCATTTTAAAATGTTAACTTCCAAGTACATTCTTATAATATTTCATTTATGAGGAACCCTCAACACATTTCACTAGTCCCACTTTCTTTATCTTCTCTGGACCTCAGAAGACAAAACAAAGAAATAGAGCACAAAAATTAAAACGGATTTGCCCAGGATCTTCAGTGAGTTTATAATAAAGAATGGCTTACATCCATAAGGTTCTCACTATATGTCAGCACTATGCATATATTTTATTCTTTCATATTATCATCTAGTCATCTCTTTGAGGCGTGTATTATGCAGAAGCACAGACTATGTCTAACTTCTATTTCCTTAGGTCATAGTGCCTGATAGAATATAATTTCCTTAACAGGCACCCAAAATGTAAATAAAAGGCATTAGCTGGTCTATGTTGCTTCTGATGCTTGATTGTGGTACTACTATAACTTGTCATCAGTGATGGGCCTAATACCTGACAATCTGCTCTCCAGGATGGACCCATATCCTACCATATCAGTCATTCCAGACAAGAAGAGACAATGCCAAACACTCAGGGGGATCAAGTTTCTCTGCCCCGTTTTATTTCTACAGGTATAGGCAAACGCCTCATTCTTTTCTTCGCTCTATTTCTTATCCACGTACAATAGGGATTTTGATGGAACTTTCACGCATTATTACCTACTAATGTCCCTCATTTACATAATAAACATATCCCGAGGAAGAATATGGAGGTAGTGAAACATAACAGAAGTCGTCAAAGAAGAGTAACAACAGGACAGGAACTAACATTTACTGACTACCTTTTATGGAGCAGACACTTGTGCAATTCTACGGGGCAGAGACTACTGTCTTTACTTGATAGATGAAGACTAAAGTTCCAACAGGTTAAACAATTACCTAAGATTACAAAATTAGACAGTGATAAGTTTGGGGGTATAGTTTTGGGGAGGAGAGGAAAATAAAGAATAAGAAGGGCAGGAGGACAGAACAAAGAACGCGGGTGGGGAAGACAGTGAACCCAATTTCATCAGGAGACATGAAACAATGAAAAGCAGACAAGCACTTGAAGGCAAACAGGTTACAGAGTGCAGGCATAAATGGTTCCTCACACATGTCAGTGGACATTTAAAAAGTAAATGATATGAGTTTTAATGAGAATTTTAAAAAATAAAATTGAATTAAAAGGCAAAGCCAGAATCTGAATAAAATCTGTATGACTCCCAAGTTCATGCTCCTAACCACTACATTCACAAAGAAACTGATCCAGTTTATGCAAATGGTATTTAGAAAAACAGGTTAACAAGATTTCTCAAACGTCACAGTAGTTTTATTTTTAAAAACCCACTGAATGTACTTCTAACAACAAATCAGGACATAAATATATGTACTATTGAAGCCACTCAATCTTATTCTTTACCTGAAAGTGACACAGAACTAATTTAAGAGGTTACAGATATGTCACAAAATTCCCAAATTCTCTATAAGCACTCCTATTTCTTTCCTCCAGAAATGTATTGTCAACTTTCTCAAGCCTCTTTATATTTTCAGTCTAAGATCCCTTTATTTGCACACACTGTTTAAAACACTATCTTTTGGGGCACCTGGGTGACTCAGTTGAGCATCCGACTTTGGCTCAGGTCATGATCTCATGGTTTGTGGGTTCAAGCTTCCACATCAGACTCTCTGCTGTCAGTCTGCTTCAGATCATCTGTCCTGCTCTCTCCCTTCCCCTCCCGTGCTTATGCTTTCTCTCTCAAAATTAAATAAACTATTAAAAAAATAAATAAAATAATATATTTTATCTCAAGTAGCTATGTTCCAGTTTCAGTGGAGGTCATCTAGATCTTTCTCCAGGTCAGATAAACTCTACTCTTTCCTTAATGTAGTGCCCAGTCAGTATACAATCAAAAACCTTGAAACTTAAAAAAAAAAAAAAAAAAAAAAAAAAAAAAAAAAAAAAAAGGTGGATGATTGTATTCAAAATCTAAAAAATTAGATTCTAAGATATCATGGTGCATCTTCAGTTTCCTTACGTTGAGGCTCATCTGGATTTAAAATGATAATTTGATTGTGGGTTAAATTTAATTGTGGATAATTGTGATGCAGAAGATCACACAAGCTATATTACATAGATAAATTCTTCATCACATCTCAAATATACTACATTTAAACCTAGTAATTAGTCCCCTTTCCCCAGTTCAAATGTTGGTTACCTCTTCATCATCTTCCTCATCTTCAACATCCAGAATTCCTGAGTCCTGTTCAGACTTGGGGCTCGTGCTTTCTATCTCTGTATCAAAAATTGTGTATGCATCTTTCTTAGATTTTCTCTTGCTACCTATTCTGGGTTGTTGCAAGACGATGTTATCCAGGTTTCTCTGTTGCTGAGCCTAGGATAGAAACACATATGCACACATTACAAAAAGAAAGAAAGAGAGAAAAGAAACAAAATTTGATTAAGCATTCAAAGAACTTCTAATATTGAACAAACTGGTATCTTAAAGGAAAATACAACAAAATGTCTTAATTCATAGTTTTAGTCCCAGAAATAAGATCAAACATATTAACATATATTTTTTAAAATGTTTTTAAAAGTTTATTTATTGGGGCACCTGGGTGGCTCAGTCGGTTGGGCATCCGACTTCAGCTTGGGTCATGATCTCACAGCTGGTGAGTTCAAGCCCCGCGTCGGGCTCTGTGCCAACAATTCAGAGCCTGGAGCCTGCTTCAGATTCTCTGTCTCCCTCTCTCTCTGCCCCTCCCCTGCTCATGCTCTGTCTCTCTGTGTCTCAAAAATAAATAAAAACATCAAAAAAAAATTTTTTTTTTAAGTTTATTTATTTTGAGAGAGAAAAAGAGGGAGTGCAAATGGGGTAGGAACAGAGACAGACAGAGAGAGAGAATCCCAAGCAGACCCCATGCTGGCAGTGCAAAGCCCAATGAAGGGCTTGAACTGATGAACCGTGAGATCATGACCTGAGTCGAAACAAAGAAACACTTAACCAACTGAGCCACTCAGGTGTCCCTCAATGTATACATTTTTAACCCTGATGTTACCCATCTTGATTCATTTTCCCCAGAAAGAAAACAGATAATCAATATTATCATTAGACTTTCCAAATATACCCAGTAAATAATCACAAAAATACAATCTACCCTTTTTCACATAAGTAGCCAAGAGATTAGTGCAAATGACTAAATATGTATCTCTTATGAGATAAATGCCATACTGGAATCATTGTGGTTGAGGGAAGAAAGACAAGAACTTTTTAGCTTAGCAGACTCTTAAGAACAGTGGTTATAATCTCTGTGGTATTAAGAGACCAATAGAATGTAATCAGGGGAATGAAACATCTTAATAATTTGAACTAACTAATCCTTCAGGATTGCATGGCCTTTATCTGTGGAAAACAAAGTTTTAAAGGGTTTCTTCTTCTGAACTTTCATAAAAAGGAAACGTAATCCCCTCAACTTTACAAAATAGATTCAGATGGTGTGGTTTTAATACATACAAAGAGGTGGAAAGTGTCACGATGCAGTCAACAACACAAGTAGTAATCCACACAGTATTAGAGCTGTATGACCTTAGTCACTATTTAGGAAACTGAGTCTAGAAGGCAAAGGATCCGTTTGAGGTCACAAGGCTAGTTGGTGGTAAATCAGAAGTTCAACGTGTGATTTCCCAAATTCCGGGTCAGAGATCTTCCTACTCTACCCACAGTCCCTCAAAGCATGACAAAATATTTCCCCCACAAAAGGTTCTGTTGTCAAATAAATGGGAAACACTGCTGTCTTGGAGCCTTCTTGGAGCCACAATGCACATTAACAGAATAAAAAGTAAGAGAAATCCTTTTTAAGGAAACTTCTTTAATTTGGTTTAACTGAGCATGTTCCAAAAGTTCATAATGGAACTTCCAGTTTTTTTCATAAAACTTGGTATCATCCCAAGATACAAAGCTTAAGAACTTATAGGTCACTTATACCTCAATAAAACTGGAAAAATAAAAATAAATAAATAAACATTAAAAAAATTTTTAAAAATAAAGAAATTTCACATTCCAATGCCAAAAAGAAGAAGAAGAAGAAGAAGAAGAAGAAGAAGAAGAAGAAGAAGAAGAAGAATGGCCTCTCAAAATATACATTTCTGAATCAATATATGACATTTTTCCACAGTGACAGGTAGAAATAGTTCTGGAGAAAATAAAAGTCTCCAAATATTCTGAATGACATTAAGAAATTCAAGATAAGGGGCATTGGGGTGTCTCAGTCAGTTAAGTGCCCGACTTCAGCTCAGGTCATGAACTCATATTTCATGGGTTCAAGCCCCACATCGGGCTCTCTGCTATCAGTGCGGAGCCCACTTCAGATCCTCTGTCTTCCTCTCTCTCTCTCTCTCTCTCTCTCTCTCTGCCTCTCCCCTGCTTGTTTTCTCTCTAAATAAATAAATACTTTTTAAAAATTCAAGATAAATATTAAGTATAAGATGTTAGTCCAGGCACTGGTTAAATGAGGCAATTATAATAGGACAGAGAAAAAACTTGAACTATGTGAGCTAGTTTCTGCCAAGAAAATGAAAAGAATCTACATTCCAGAGATTTGAATCAATGGACAAGCTTGTTCCTATGCATAATACTCACTGATATTTTGATTTGACTTACATAAAATATACATGGCTTCAGTAACAAACTGAGATAGAGAGGATATCCAAAAACATTTAATTTACATATGTACATAAAACATACCTGTCCTCCAAGCATTTGACCCCTAAATTAGATAGCATAGTCTTTCTATCTCTCTCAAAAGTAATAAGTTCTTTTCTACTTTCAAGCAAACCACACAAAAAGGGATCCAGGTCTCTGGGAAGGCACAAAGGAAGGAAGAACTTCCTAGAGTTTTCATATTTAAAAAAGCAAGCCCTGGACTACAGTGATCACTTGTCCTTTAAGCCTATCTTCTTCAGTATAACAAAACCAAAAGCTTTCATAAGGTGGTCTTATTCCATTAAATCCCAAGTCATTTATTTTTCTTCATAATCAGTAAAATACTATCAGCATATCAAAAGCAATCAAGAGAAGCCACACTTCAGTACTGTCATTTAAACTTGAAATGATACAAATCTGAAAGTATCCTATCGAAGTAATTTTAGGTCTTCTATGATTTGTTCTTTTCAGGTGGTGTCTGGTGTTCCCATCAATTTGAAGGAATGCAGTTTCGGCCAAATAGGCAAATTAAGACAGCAAACCCTCTGCTAGAAATCAAAGCACTGCAAGTTGTATTCTAAGGCTTTAACAGAACTTGGGGTCCTGTCAAAATTATCAAGGCTTCAGTCCATAAAAGAGCAGTCAGAGCAGATCTGCTAAGCAGAAGTGGCCAAGTCAGAAACAAAGAATCGCAGGTAGAACAATGAAATACTAAGATATTACTCATTATGAATGCAAATGAAAATTACCATCTATCCAAACCATACGTTATGGGGTTGGAATGAAGTGGGAAAGAGTAAATACAGATGTAAGTATATAAATACATGTAATATATGCTAAAATTAAAATGGGATCCTAAGTCCATGAAAAAAAAACAACAACAAAAGCCCTTCAGAGCTCTTTTCTACCATGCTAAACTATCTCACCAGGACCATTTATTCTGTCCCTCCAAAGACAACCCTTATAACCATGAGCCAAAGAAGCAGCTGACCAATTTCTGCCTCCTATGTTAGAGTTGGGGGAGAAGGTGCCAAGCAGACAAGCAGACATTAGAAACTATTGAGGTATTTTCTTTTTCTTAATTGTTCATTCTCTTCATGACCAATTTTTACACATTAATTACCTCTTCCTCAAGATTCCCTCATGTACATTCTTCTCTGATTTCCTAATATAGAGAAATTAAGCAAGATTTCTCCCTCAAGCCCTCTTCTCTTACCAGTCTCCCATGACCCAGCAGCACATCTCCAGTAGCACATTGCCTATATTGCTTTTGAGTTTCTCCACCTCACTTCCAACATGCCTAAAATGGAACTCATCACCTTCTCATTAGAATTCCCCTGCATACTACAGCCAGGCTCTTCTTAAACCACATTATTCATCACACAAATTGAGTGTGAGGGGAAGTGGGAGGAAAAATTTCAAAAAGTACAAATCCCAATTCGATCCCAACTTCCCTTCAACTCCACCATAATGGAAGCTGAACCTAATTTTCCAATGTACTTACCCAGTACTCTCCAACATGAGTCTTCCACTTGGATCAAACTCTACCACTTAATATACTACGAATATTATGCCATTTCTCTAGCGGATGACCTCTCCCCACCTGAATCCAACCTGTACTCTGAATCCCAACTAGAATTCTTTCTTTAGGAAGCCTTCTCTCACTGTGCTAATTCCCAGAGCATCCTCTCCGCATCCCTACTTTCAGTCAAACAGGTCCTGAATATCTATTGGTACCAGGCATTGTGCTACATACTGGGTCTACAAAGAATAAGATGGAGTCCCTGACTCACAAACCTCATGTCATACTGTTACAGGAAACATAGATAGGCAAATAAGTGACCGAAATTCAGTGTAATAAGCAGAAAAACAGATACACAGGTACAATAATTGGACATAGGAGAAAGTAGTCATATATGTGTGGAGGGGATTAAAAATGGACCCCACAGAGGAAGGGGTAGCAAACTGTGGTTTTAAAAGATAAATATGATTTTTACAAAGGGAGATAGGTAAAAAGGATAAGCATTCCAGAAGGAAGGAAACAGCATGAGAAAAGATCACCGCATGTGAAATAACATTATTCACCCAAGGAATAAGTAATCTTGTATAAAAGTGTAAGTGATAATGAACTACCAAGAGATAAAGAAACCATACAAAGCAGTTTCAAGGTTCACTAGTAGGTAATGGAGAAACAATGAAAGAACATAAGCAGGGAAGAACAAGATCAGCTTTCTAATTCAGGCAAATTCTCCAGGAGCAAAAGAGTGGTCAACTGGGAGAAGGTAAAGACTAGAAACAGAAAAACTAATATAGATCACCGTAACAGTCCAAACAACAATGATGAGGACTTGAATTAAAGGTAGGCAGCAGACAGATAACTAGTAGAAGTAATAGAACTTACTGATTTCTGTTGTACATGGAAGTACATGGAAGAGGTGAAGGAAATAAGAATAACTCCAGGATCCTGGTCTTGACGACTAGATGGTGGCAAATAATAAAAACCACGAAAATAATAAGTTGAAAGAAGAGAGAGAAGATGAGCTTGGCAAACGTGCCAGGTAGACAGGTTAAAAAAAACAAACAGGCCAGTACAGCCCTTGAGCATGTAACTCTTCTCTCTTTGAGGATAGGAAACACATCTTACCATTCTTAGAATCCTCCAAACCGAGACACAGTGATATATACGGAGT